ATGTACTGTAGTAAAATGAGTAAGGACTAAGCATCTGTGCCAGGCAAGATGCTAAGAGTTACGTTATCTCAATTCATCTTACAGCCACCCAATATCCTGATTTAGAAAAGAGGCCGCTGAGGCTTAAAGTTAAGTAACAGGTCCCAATTTACAGAGAAGACATTCCACGCCACTTCAGCCACTACTGCCTCCTTGTGGCAGACAGGTCCACAGGGCAAACGCCGAAAGTAACGCTTTCTGGTTTATGATTTATACTCAGGAAGGGGAAAGTGCCTAAGAAACAAACCACTAAGAAAAGAATCCACTTTAATCTACAGTTTGCTGACAGTGTCTGCCATCTCCCTAACTCCACACGAAGTAGCCATTCTTCTGAAGATGTTAAGAAAAATTGCCGTGTGTGTGTGTGTGTGTGTGTGTGTGTGTGTTTGTACACATAAATTAAGTTCCTACTCTAGCAATTTAACAATCAACAAAAACACACAGAATCTAACAAACACCAGGATGAGCCAAAACTAGCAACCATGGTTAATAAGGAAGTCCGTTCCCAAGGTGAAACTCTGTCCCAAGGTGGGACTCAGCTTCCTCTGTAAAATAAAATGGATTCCAGTTCCTAAAAGCCTTCCAGACTTATCCTTCTAAGCTCAAGTAGAAAAGATGAAGTCCAAATTTAATGAAGGAAAGAAAACACATTCTTTAACGTTCTGAAATGTCTAGTTAAAACACAAAAAGCGGCCAAGGGATGAGTTTTTGTTGGATTTTCGTAGTCCTGTTTAAGTAAGCATACATGGGAGCTCGGTTTTGTAATGTAGCAGGATCTACCCTCACTGTAATTAAAACTACAGTGCAGGACACGAACCTACATTAGATGAAAGCAAAATATGGGACAAGAAATCGCAGCACATCTCCAACTCCAGCAATCAGCCTTTAAATCCTAAGGGGGGAAAAACAGGAAACTCTTCCATCTTTCTAAAGCCCTGTATTCCTCGGTCGGTAATACCCAATTTTTGAGCAGTGAAATTTTTAATATAAGACCTATTGATATTCAAGCTCTCTTCCGAGCCACAGGGAACCATCACACACGCAGGTATAAGCTAAACGTGCATGAGAACCTGGCACAGCAGTTCGGAAACATGACAGAACGGGCGGTGAAGGTGACATAAAAACGCCGCACGAGAAAGGCCTGGTTAAACAAAAAAAGGCACATGCCCCAACGCGGAAGCATCTCGTGTCCTCGGAGGCGCTGAGGACGGGCGGCGGTGCAAGGTTCCCGAAGAGCCACCCCCGCCTGTGCCCTGAGCGGCACGCCCGGAGGCTCAATGTCACCTTCGCCAAGGCGCTGCAGGCCGGGCGGCCACTCCCGGTCAGGTGGCCGCGGGGTCGACGCCGGGACACGGTCACGGCCTGCGGACTGCAGAGTCGCGTTGCGCTCCCTTCGCGGCGCCCGCAGCAGGTCCACACCTGACCCGTCCGCCGTGCCAGCGCCAGGAAGTCGTGCGGAAGCAGGCCTCGAGGGCGCACCCCGGTCCTCTACGCCTCGAAGCTGCGGCCCGTGGTCAGCGGGTTCCGCGGGCAGACGCTAGGCCCCCGGGGCAGCTCC